GCAAAAGGCCCAGGGGACGGCCAAGATTAACCTGGTGCAAACATATGGAAGGAATCTGTTCCTGGCTGCAATTGTCTTTTGCCGAAGCTCAGACTCTGGCATAGGATCGGGAACGTTGGAAACACTGTCTGGCGCGTCTGCCTCCGCGACCCGAAGAGAGAAGCGGCGATGGAAGATGAAGATGAAGAAGTGGTACTTGCTGTTTCACGGATGATGGCGCAGAAACGGTGAATCGGCAAAGTCCTGCAATTTCAGCAATGTACTTTCAGGAACTACAAGCGGCATTTCAACGACTAGTCTTTCATCCTTCACTAGATGTCCCTATTCATACATGGGCAAGATCGCAAGTCGGCGCTCTTCCAATATTCGTTGTTCTACGACTGCCTGACTATCGCTGGCAAAATAATTTGAATACTGTATCGTATGATTGGTAGTTTTGGTACGACTAAGGCGCAGGTCGTGGTGCACTGCAGCCCAGTATGTAATTTTTTACATCCACACTGTTCTTCAAGCAAGTCGCGAATCTGGTTCATCTTCACTTGGCTTCATTGATAGCCGAAAGCACAGTTACTAATCCAGTAATTAACAGAATTTATGTACGTGGAAACTGATCCTAGAGGGTTAATAGTACAGCAAATATTTTCAAACGTTTCCTTCTACTCTAAAACGATCGTTTGAAGAGAAAATTAATCGACCAATAACAGAAAATTAAATCACACACGTTGCTTACCGACCGTGGTCGTAGGGGGAACGGCTGCGACTGCGACGAATGAGCGAATGCGAGTGCCCCTTGCTGTAGCTGCGACTGCGGCTGCAGTATCTCGAACGGGAGCGACTCCTTGACCGGGAGCGCGAGGGTCTTCGATTTGTTGAATGACTGCGAGCAGGCGAATGGGAGCGTGACCGGGGCGAATGGGTACGGCTACGGCTCTTGCTGTGACCTCCATGGCCACGACGGTGGCCACCAACGGGAGGAGAGCTGTCATCTGACTTGACGTCGCGATCACCGCTTCTGGTCGGTGACGTCGGAATCGTACTCCTACTCGAGCAACTGGAACTGCTGCGACAACACCGCGCGATGTCCTTCTCTTCTGGTTCGGTTTTTACAGTCGCGTTGCCATCTTCGCTCCCGACGGTTGCCTGTCTGAACTGTTGCTGATCGTCACGTTCATCATTGATCATCGCTTCAACTTCAGTTTTAACAGACGGTGTAGACGAATTTTGGCCAGAGCTCTCTGCGATGGCCGCTGCGGCCCGAGCCTTCGCTTCATCGATCTGGTCCCATTTACTTCGAAAGCCTCGCGACGATGCCTTAGATGTCGCCCCAGTAGCGGGTGTCACAGACGCCGCTTGTTTTGAATCTGACCGCTTTTCGTTACCGCGTGAATCCTGCTCGCCACTTGCCATCAACTTCTGCAATGCTTCGCTCTCACTGCTCTCCTTCTTCACCTTCAGCATCGCGTACTGCTTTAGCTGTTTGCTGATCAAAGACTTGGTGGCCAACTTGCGCTCGCTACTCAGACCGGTAAGTTGAACACCGCTGGTAGTCGAACCTGGCATGTTGTAGTCGCCATACGATCGCGAAGTTTCGCTTGTGTTCGCTGGCGCAGGACCGGGAGGGAGGTCAATGTCTTCGGGTCTCACTTTGGTCTTCTTGCCTGCCTGCATCCAGCCCGCATAAGAATGGCCACTATACGAGCTGCCATAACCGTTGTACATGTATGGATAGTAGTTGTAATAGCTGTAGTACTGATAAATTTGGCTCCAGCACTGGTTCCAATCGCCCGGTTGCATCTGGCTAACGTATGAAGGATCAAGCGGTTTGCCATCTGCACCAACATGAATCAGAGGCTGCCCATCGGTACCATATGGAACGACCGGCTTTCCTTCCTTGTCAAAAGGCAACACTAGGCTTCCATCGGTTATCGTCACTGGAACCGTCGGCTTACCGTCAGGACCCAAGGGAAATATGGGCATGCCATCAGGACCAATGGGGAAAACTGCTTTGCCCTACGATACGTACACATGTATTCTAAGCAAGATCCAAATAAAATAAACATACCTCAGAATCCACAGGTACGATCGGCTTGTTGCTGGGTCCAACAGGAAACACTGGCTGGCCATCTTCTCCAACGGGGAACGTAGGCCTACCGTCATCATCGACCGGAAACAATGGCTTCCCATCAGGACCCAGGGGAAAAACCTATCATTACAGGACTGATTAATAAAGTATTTATAAATACAATGTAAAATACGTAGGAACTTTTCAACTTAGTAATCCTGATACTACGCATAACTGCTCAACAGAAAAGCTCACGATTTATATTTTGGGTTTAAGAGTGAAAAGCAGTCTCATAAAATATTCATGAGTCTTTTATAGTTTGGTTCATACCAACTAGGCCGTTGTTTTACACTAATACTGTTGCAGTTAATGACGATATGTGCCATTACATACAACGCCTGAGAGCAATTTGAACTAGAAGGAACGTCACAACTGTATGGCATTTTAACACCAACAGTGTATGGATTCAAAGCAACAACATTGAGTAGAACATGAACCAGGTACGTCTGTACGCAAATTCGATACTGAGCAATGACACATCGCTCAGACAATAGTGTGACTACCAAATAGTAAGTTTGCTTACAAACCTGAACCTGCTTGGTTCAGTATTATTCCCTGAGACAGAATAACGCAACCTTTTCCTTCTTTCCTCTTCCCATCAAATGGAAAATAATGAGATACAGACAAGAGGAGCCGAAGATCCGAATAATGCATTACAAATATTAGTAATCAGAAAGGCAATAAACTCTGCGTCGTTCGGACGATCAAGACCTGGGATCAAAAATGATAGTCATCGCTCCCACCCTGAGCAGGGGAATTATTTTCAGTTTCAATAGCACAATATATCACTGTCAACATATAAAATAAGGCTCATTATGTTAATATTAACTCAGTACTGCCATCATCGTATTATATTATGCTGTGGATTATTACCGTAATATTAATACTTAAATAATTTGTTCATGCGTTGTCGCTCATACAAAAAACTGAAAAAGGTAAAAAAACCGTTTATTTATACACAACGTAAACAAATAATTTGAAACACCCTGACGAAGGTCCGAAAGAGGCTCGTGAGAGAGAGCTAAAACGACGGTACTGGAAAATCATCTGATTGACAAACTTATTTGTTTGCGTTGTGTATAAAAACCCATTTTTATACATTTCCCAGTTTTAAATAAGGGCGTTAAAATAATGCATTAGTTAATTTAATAGACTTCTATATTACCTGTAGTTTCGTGCCTTAGTTAGTCAATCAGAGAATCCGAGTATCTACTAGCAAAACTGCATACAACCGGCTTGACAAGCATACTGTTATTAGAAATAAGCAATATAGTCTATATAAGTATATTCGCAAGTAATACGATCGTTATTATAATATTAAAGTATTTTATTCGTGCGTTGGTGTTCATACTGAAAAATGCATGAAAATGATTTATTGGTTTACAAAACAAGCAAATAAGTTGGTCAATCGGGTGGCTGACCAGTACTGACGTTCCGGCTCATTTCTCACAAGTCTTCTTCAGGGTGGTTTGGGTTGTTTACCGTAGATGTATCAGAGGTCCGCACCAGTTGTGACATTTGGAGCAAAAGGTATGCCTTTAGCCCGTTCTAAAGCAGTTGCAAGATAACGGGCTTGTTAAAACTTGTCCAATCCGTGCCGAAAGTCAGTACTGGTCACTCATTCGATTGACTAACCTATTTGCTTGCAGTATCAATAAACAAACCATTTCTACATATTTCACAATATTACATAATACCCTATGGATGCCGTGATTGAAACACTGTTACCAAACACTGTGTTCACTATGACCTGTACTATACATAGAACTGGATCAACGGCGTTAAAGCCAAAGGTACTGTAAACGGTACTGTACAGACAGGTAAACTGCAGTTAAGCGTAATGGTCGCACAGCCACAATCAACTCATCAGTTTCTGAAACAATCTGAACTCCCTCCATGAGGATACGCAATTTACTTAAGACGTCTGAAAGGATAACGAGATGATGCTTTTCTGAATGTAATAGTGAACAGGGAGAAAGGAACATAAAATAATTCTGTACACAGCACAACAATTTTGATTCCCTACCATGTCTCACTTATCAGAATGGCAATCTACTCAACGGACAAGTTACAAGTATTAATCACATAAATATATTATTAGCTTAATAAAGATCACTGCTACTACTGATCGGTACAACTAACCCCTCAAACCTTTGTGTGCTGCGCGTAAAAGAAAAAAATGTTTCTATACGCAGCACTCGTTCGACTCGCTCTTGACTTACTTTCTTTCCGTCTGGTCCAACGGGCAGAATAGGCTTTCCATCAGATCCTTTCGGATATTGCGGCCGGCCGTTGGCATCAATGGGTATCAAAGATTCCCACTCAGCTTTCCGCTGTTCCTTCAGCTCAGGGGTCATGGTCATGGCTGTTGTGGTAGGTATGGTTGCCTGTTGTTGCATCCCCGGCAGCTGACAAATGTCGCTAACATGGTTTTGGGAGCTAACCGGCTGATCGTGGTTAACAGAGTCAGACTCGCCGGTGTCTTTGGCGCGCGTTTCGACAGGCGCCATCTCTGACGGTGCGGGACACGACGCCGACGGAGCTTTGCGCGAGTCTCCGCCGCCGGTATCTGTTGGTTCGCCACCACCACCATCACCGCCGTTAGTACCAACTTCACCGATGATGTCATGAGCGATGTTCGAGTTCTGACTATCCCATAACTGAAAATGGCCGTCATGATCTTGAAAATACCAATAACTTGCCTCGTCTCGAGCATACCACCTGCCATGTTTGTCAGTATAA